TTTCGTTTTTCCTTTGCCTTCTCCTAGACCTAAAAGCCTTCTTAAACTCTCGTCCATGCATCAACGGGGTATAGTTCAGTGAAAAATGACATTAATTTGCTTACCAATAGTCACATGTTCAAATTCTCATAGCATCCAAGTAGGGTGTGTGAGAAACCCTCTCTCTTTTATAATTTAAACCATCACTCACTTGTATATTTTTCTTTAAAAGAAGAAGAGAAAAGCGAAAAGGCATAAAGGGAACTTGAGAAAGTAATAAAAGGTTTTGGGCCTTAGGCTATTAGGTGCATGGATAGAGGTCAAAGACTCAGAGTTAAAGAAAACTCAAAGTTTCACAAAAGGTATGTTCCTCTATGAAATTATGGTTATTCTTTTCCTACTTACTCCATAATTTCATAAGGGAACAAACTTTTTGTGAATTTATTCAAATTTGACAAACCTTATGCTTGAAATATCTAAGTTAGGGAAAAAAGAATTAGACTTTTTCTAAGTTACTTGAAATATCTTGTATTTTATACCAAACTTGAAACTACTGTAAAGGATTGTATTCTGTTGAAAAATACAAAGAGGGGTTTGATTTAAAGCAGCAAACAGAGAGTCAATCAAGACTCTATCTAAAGTGGTGGTTGCCCTATACGGACAGAAACCAAAAATACCTTTTACAAAAAAAGACTGCGTCAATGATATGTCTCTAACAATTCAGTTGTGCCACAATTTGCAACATGTGCATGCATCATTTTCAATCATTTTTATTATTATTTAAAAGCATGATGAAAGGTGTCTCAGAAGATCTCAACCGTTCCTGAATCACTGTCTGACGGTCTTGATCTGCCCATTCCAACACATAATATATGTGGCTGGCTACTCACCCTAAACCAAGAAGCAACTAATCTAAGTGGTTGTGCCTTGTGGCGGCTATACATGACAAAGCAAAGAAAACAAAGCCATAAAATTATTGCCCGATAGTCTTGTCCACTGCTGTTTGCCCTAGAAGGAGAAAAATGAACTCCTTCTGAACTGAAGATGTGGCTCAATCAGAAGTGGCCACATGTCCATACAGTTAAAAAAAAACATTAAACCCACCAATAGGACTCAGAAAAACTTCCCCCCCCACCCACCACTTGCCTATCCGAACTCCCCCAAACTCAAAACACACAAGTGATAAAAATACTCTTCTCAATACTCTCAGTATTTCTACCCAATCCCTGTTAATTGCTGCAAACTAAAAATGAGTGCTGATTGGAATTGACACATTTTTTGTGAACAGAACTGTGCAGCTGATGCTTTGGCTGCTAAAAGGTTTGATTTTAATCCAGGTCTGCATATCTTTGATGGGGTGCCAGCTTGCATTACAGACATCCTGGCTGCTGACTCAAGGGAATTCTTTTGTCTTGCTTTGGAACGTTCTGAGTTTCCGTGTTGTCTTCTACAAGTTGATGAAATTGGTCCTTCCATTGAAAAAAATAAAATAAAATAAAATAACTCTATAAATAACACACCTTTGGTCTGCACTTCAACATCCAAACACCCCTCACCTCTCTCTCCTCTCTCTGTCTCTAGTCTCAGACTCACAGAGCTAAGCTATGACTATCTCGTCTTTTCTTCAAGACCCCTTTGAAATGATCCCTTCTTCTTCTTCTGTCAATTTAGTCCGTCTCCACCTAGGAGAAGTCCGTTTCCATGCCATGAAAGCTGCAGAGGTTGAAGAAAGCAGTAACAGACCTCAAAGGGTCCATTCACGCCCAATCAATCGACCCTCTTCGGCTGCTTTCATGTCACCAAATGCCAGTCGACTCTACTCCGCTGCAGTAACCAACGGTACAAACAGTACCACAAGCTTGAGCCCAGAGAGGGTCTTTTTGTCTTCAATCCCCGTCAACGGCCCGAGCCGACAAGATGCAATCGCTGCAAGTACGGGCTACCGCCTGAACATGGACTTACACAGCAGCAGCAGCCATCATGTCGTGGGTTTCTGTTTTCTGCCTCCACCTGAGCTTGCCGATATGAACTACGCGGCGAGGCGCATCCCGGACCTCAACTTGCCACCATCTGATGTCTCAGATGTCTCAGCTTCGGAGCTGGTCCTAAGAACCAAGAACAGAAACATCCTCCGATTTATTGATGCTGTGCGTTCGTTGGTTGTCAAGCACGGGAGCCCTGAGGAGCTGGCGGAGTACATGAAGAACAAGAGCAGCTTGACCATACCCCAGCTTTGGAATCTTGATTCTATTCGGATCTGGAATATGCTGTCCCTCTCCCGGGGAGGTGAAATTGAGAAGGAGCTGATGGAGGAAGGCCTAGTTGAGGCCCTAATTCGCGTCGAGGATCTTCCATCGCCGCTGGAGCTGGTCCTCGCTCCGCCACATCACTATAAGGTCTCCGCCAACCAAGATGCCAGGATTGATTACAAGTACAATCAAGCATCAACTTCGTTCCACGACAACAAAGAGACTTTGGTATTTATAAATTATTTATGCATCCAACTCTCTCAGACTGTCGTCTAATTAGCTTTGATTGTCATCGATTTTTATTTGTTAAACCCAATTTTCAGTCCTCGGATGCCCGCAATTATGATGTTGTTGATGATGAAGAAGAGGACCAGAGCATCGGTAATTATGATGTTGATGAGGAGGAGGACGAGAGCAGCGGTGATGAGGCTGATCATCATCAGGACCAGAAGCGCAAGGCGGTGGCTGTAATGGACGACCAGGATCCGTATGATCAGCATCTTCAGATGAAGAAGGCCAGGCACGGTGGAGCTCTTCGTATTGATGAGCCCAACAACGCCAATCCATGAGGCTGAAGCTGCAGAGGAGAGGACTCATCATCATCAGCCTCAACCCACCAGTCCAAATGCCCCCATCCATCCATACATCCATCCACTTTTTTCTTTAATTTTTTGTGTGCAATTGTATATACACGAATCTATGACTTTAGTAATTAATAAATTCATCCATCCATCCATCCATTCTTGATGGGCTTGTTATTGCAATTATCAGAATAGTCAATTAATAGTGCTTATAAATTCACCCTATCCTTCCATCAACATCGGCGACCAGTAGACCAAATAAAAACACCGGCGACGAGACCAGCTGCCAATTAAAAAGCAAGCACAATCATAATACTTTACCCTAATTATTAAGGTTTTTGGATAGGCACAGCCTTTCATGTTTTAATCTTTTTAATCTCATTCCATTACCTGAAGAATAATTGTTTCATTTTCAATTTTAAAGGAAGCGTCTACCAATAATGATTTGTAGACAAATCTCATGGCAAACAACTCTCAGAATTTTAGAGTAGCCAGTTATAGAATTTAAAGCAGGAACTTTTAAAATTAAATAAAAATATATGAGCAAGATCACTTGGATATTAATTTGGAGCTCCATGAAAACCCTTTCATTAAAATTCTGGATGAGAATTGAAAAGTTAAGGGCATGTGATTTGTCAATTGTAGGTGTGACAAGGATTTTCCATGGACTAATATTCTGAGAGAAAGATGACAAAAAGTGTGGTGGCCTGTGCTTGCTCGCTTTCCCTGGGACTTCAATTATTTAACGAGCCATTATTTAAAGGTGCAACTTAATATAATATTAAAATCCGACGGTGAAATTAAGAGAAAGTTGTACATGTGTAGCTTGTGCGAATTGTAAGAATTAATACGAAAAAGTTGTATAGAAATGAAAATACTAGTTGAGCAAATCCTCTCAGTAAACAAAGTCAAGAATGCAATTCTGCAACTGTGAAGACATGAATGAAGGCCAACGATGATACGTCTCCCGGCCCGGCATTCTTTTTTAGGCTGTCGTTTTCTGGAATGTTAAAAATTACATGAGTGTTGTTGACGCCTACTCCAAATTCAAACCCTAAACCGAATAAGAGCATGCATTATATTTATTGTGATATTTGGAGCTCCTTTTGCGGGTGACATGAACACTAACCGGCTAAGAGCATGCATTATATTTAGGGAGTTTCACTAAAATACTCAAAATGAGGGTTGAAATTATAAAAATACCAACACCCAAAACACTTTATAAACATACCCAAAACTCATCATTACACACACTCAAAACTTATTTATAAACATACCCAAAACTCATCATTACACACATACCCAAAACCCATTTTGGCTATGTTTCTATGTTTAAATAGTACTTGGGTATTTTTATAAATACATATCTAGAATTGGGTATTTTTATAAATATCTATTATATTTATTGTGATAAAATGAAACACTACCTAGCCTTCTACTGAAATTGCGGGTGAGATTTAAAATAACATGGAAAAGCTATGGTCAATTGTAGTAGGCAAAATGATTTGACATGTCCCAGGTTATCGTCACGCCAATGATTTGACACCAACCGGCTATCAACGTGAATACCTGTTGTATTTAATCCATAACCTTTTCTTTTTTGTAACCTATTTATATTTAACAACATTTTCTTGTTTTTTCATACCCTTTCCGTTTGTAATGTTAAAAATTATATGAATATGGTCCTTTTTTGAATGTTAACAATTTAAAAATGACGTTTACGCAATTTGATTTGTTGCGAACCATACAAATTGCTAACCCTAAAAAGGTTATGGATTAAAACTGACATTTTATTCATAAAATGTAACATTACCCACCCTTCCACTGAAATTGTGGGTGAGATTGAAAATTTAATAGGGCATGTCATGGACCAAATCTTATAAAGAAAACGACAACAAACAACTAGTAGAGAGAGATTGCAACTGGTGGTATGCTTACTTTCATTCATTTTTAAGAGAAATATTAAAATATGGTTTAATTGTTGTTAATGTTTCTGAATCTTTGGGTTTAGGATTTTGGGATTTAGGGAAATATTTAAAAAATTGAAGAGATTTATAGGATTCTTTGCCTGTCACCACGTACCAAATTTCATTCTCGACACCACGTACTGCTGACGTAAATTATTGACTTTTCGGACCAGCGTACCGAAACCCAGTTACCTATGAAGGAGGCTTAGAGCATCTTCATTAAAAAATCAAAAAGTAAAGTAAGAGGTGAGAGAGGGTTGTGCGTCTAGGGAGAGAGGAGAGGAAGAAATGGAGACCCCAAAAAAAAGACAGATCAACTTCAACTGCAGGAGGAGGGTTATAAAAAGACCTCCTCTCCCAGCCCTTCAACTGCAGGAGGAGGAGGGTTATAAAAAGACCTCCTCTCCCAGCCCTCAAAAACCCACTTCAACATCTTAACCTTTACTCTTCACTTTCAACTCTCTCTCTCTCTCTCTCTCTCTCTCTCTCTCTCTCTCTCTTAGCCCTGAAAGAACCCACTTCACCATCTTAACCACTCTCCACGTTCAACTTCAAAACTCTCTCTCTCTCTGTGTCTCTGCAAACTCACAGAGCTACTAGATACGGCGGGTATGGCGTATTTTCTGAAAAAACCCTTCAAAATGAGCCCCAACTCTCGTGTCAATTTATTTCACTTCCACCTAGAAGAAGTCCGTGTGCTGCTCCCTGACCACCCATTCAATCGAGCCTCACCAAATGGCGGTTTCAGGCCACCCAGACTCTACTCGGCAGCTGTCAACGGAACCGGGAGTACTAGTTTGTGCCCAGAAAAGGTCTTCGTCACTCGCATCCCTCTTCTGACTGGGCCCACTCCAGAAGACGCCGCTGCTGCAGTCATCCAATTCGGATTGAATTTGGCTCTAAACAGTAGCAGCAGCCACCACCAGTTCTGTTTCCTAGGAAACGGGCCCGCTGCCGACGACGGTGGCCAGAATTACGTGGACCCCGCACCAAATAGAGGACCCAATTACATCCCGGATCTCAACGTATCGCAGCCGGATGAGACGGCGCCGACGACGGATTTCGTCGGAGTAATCAAGAGCCAGAACATCTCCCAGTTCACTGATTACGTGGTGTGGTACCTGGGCGAGTACGGGAGTGATGAGGGGGTGGCGGAGTACAGGAAGATTCTGAGCAGCAAAAGTGAAGGAGAAATCGGAAACCTGGATTCGATTCGGATCTGGAATATTCTCACCCTGGAAGCCGAAATTCAGAAGGCGCTCGTAACGAAAGGCCTCGTCGAGGCCCCAATGCGCTTCGACGATCTTCAGTTCCCGGCGCCGGAGGAGCTGCTTCCAATTCCGGAAAAAGGCGGGAAGGCCGCCAAGAGGGCCAGGTACTGTGGAGTTGTTGGTATCGATGAGCCCAAGTCACCAATTCCTGAAGCAGGGGACTCTGACTCTTCAGAGTGATCACCAATCCGAACACCGCCTTTTGTACTTTTCGCTTTTTAATTTTTATTTAAAAAATAGTATGTTTTTGTGTGAATAACTTGCTCTGTTTTGTGCAAGTTTGGAAATTCCCAGTGGAATTTGTGTATTTACTATCTTAGGAATTTCATAAATTTGCTGCTGGCCTAGATTAGATCAATGCTGGAGAAAAGCTTAGATGAGATCTATTGGTTAAATTTGCTACAACCGATGATTGGGAAGTTTTTCTCCTGACAAACGTCCAGGTCATAAGTTTTTGCGTATAGCTTTGTTTGGTTGTGTTGTTATTAATAGAGTTGCTTCTGTTTGGTTGGGATAAAGTTGAACCAAATCCTTGGCTCTTGGCTGTTTGGTTCTGTTTGGTTCTGTTTGGTTGGTAGTATAAACTATAAAGATTGCGTCGCGCCCATTATGAATGGAAAATTTTCATATTATTATTTATGCAAATTACGTTGTTATAATATAAAAGTGAAACACATGTCCAGATCTGAGGAATCTCTTTCCTCTTTTTTTCTTTAAATTTTATTATCTATTGGGCAGTTTTGGAAAATTTGGAATGGAGAGCTAGGGTTCTGTCACGGAACAGAGAAGGTGCGGTTTGTGTCAAATTTCTTTGATTCTTCTTGCTTGAATTTATATTGATGGAAAATCTAACACCATGCGTGTCTACAAACTAGGTTTTTTATTTATTTTAAAAAATAATTCTATTTTATGGTGAATACTAAGGTTTTAGTTCAAATACTATTTCTATTTGTGGCTTTATTTATAACATTTGTTTTTGCTTTTGCTTTTTTATATACCTTTTCTTTTCGGTTGTCACCACTCTTAATTGGTCGTTAGTATTATCACTATATTGATTGCCGTTAGATGAGTGGAATTTTTTAGATTTGTGTAGCAAGTAAATTAAATTATACTCATCCAACGATAATTAGAGTGGACACCAAGGTCTAGTCAAATTAAGTGTGGCCATCCATTGAACTTCGATCTTACAAGCCACTTTTTTACACTTTTTATATACTACATTATCTTTTGTGATTTAGTTCAATAATTTCTTGTTTATACTCAATCTGTATTGAATTATGAAGGGAAGAACTATATATATATATATATA